GTCCGTCATATGACGGACGAAAGCTTAGCACGTTTTCACCGAAATCAAACTGCGTCAACAAGAATGTTTAAGAGTAATCTGCCGTTGTCTTCTGATGGTATCGATCTTTGAATCCATTCACCAAACCTTTTAATCAAAATGAAAGTGAAATAAATAAATATATCTTTATCATGTTGCATAGTGGGAGGCATCCCAAGGTTTTCTCATCTGTGTTAATTATTTTTGACTCTTCTGCTAATTATGGATCTCTATTATTTTCCAAAATAAGATGCAATGAGAGATTGAATTAATATATTTACTGACTAAATTAAAACTAAGGTAAAGAATCTCTACCCCGTGATGGAAGAATTTAGGGTAAATTCACCTTTTTAATTTTGCAATTTCACATTATTTTTTATTCAATTCATTCTGCTGAATAAGCTGTTTCCGTTTTTTACTATATAATACAAAAAATAGGTTCTATTTCCACTTTGGCTTGTTGCGCCTCGCATAGATGGCTGAAATCGGTATAAAATCTTTACTCGAATCGTGGTTGGGTATATGGAACTGTGGCCGTCATTTGGGTCTTCTCGCTGAAATTTAGAGACCGATTGCTACCAGGAGCCCTCGTGCTAGAGTAAACAACTTGATGGTGCGAACTTTGGATAGCCCCACTATATCTTCACCAAATCCCATCGCCTCCATCAAAGTAGATTCTGATTGTTTGACCTTGTTTTCGCAACGTGGTCATATTGGTAGGAAGACTTATAGGAACGCACCTAGTCCTGAGTCCATTGTCTGCATGATCATTTCCAAAGTTGAACCGTGGGAATGTACCACGTCAAACGCAGTTGATATGCAAAAGTATAAATTTGGCCTGAAAAAAAACAAAATGTTAAAAATTTAAAGAGTATTCTCACTAACTCATTGTGCTTAGTTTTGCTATCAATTCTTAAGGCAGTAAGGGAAAATGGATTTTATAAATCACCCCAATGTGTGTGGATAATTTGCCAGATTTGACAAAAACCTGTTTTATTATATACTTAAAGCAACATTTGTTATTCGTTCTCGTCAAGGAATTCCCTCTTCTCCCTTAATCTTCTTCAGTCTAAATACTTAAGGCACCCCGTCATTAATCAAGCTCAGGATAAAAGTCAAAAACTTTGAAATCCTCCTTCGGTATCAGTTATGATCAATTTGACTCAACGATGCAGTACCACACAAGAGCCTTGTTTATAAAGCAGGCAAATTCTAAATCTTTTCGTGTTTCTTGATGAAGCTTCGTCTCCTCAGGCTGTGAGAAAGCAAATTTCTTCACAAATGTTCCCTCATTATATCATGAAAGAGTTTTAAGAAAGAAAGTATAAAAAAGGTGAACAAGAAACATGTACGTGTCGATAATAAAAAAATCACATTATCATTATGTATAAACACCTCACCGAGGACAGGAAACCTAAAATATTCGCCATAAATCTTATTATCAAGATGTAGCATAGCTCTTTGAACCAAGGAGAAGTAAGGTTTGGGCCTAACTGCAGGCTAAAAAATCAGGGCTGTGTTTTGAACCTCCTTTTTATCTTATATAAGAGCCATAATTTGTTATGCCAGTCAAGATAATGAATCCAGTTTCGTATATAAGTCGCTTTTCGAGACTATCGGTAGGTCATTTATATATGAAGTACATTTAACCTATTTCATTTAAGGTGATAAGGACACCGTTCATTGAATTTCACATAGCCTTGCTTTCCCAAGAGTTATTCACATCCAAGCAGGAGTTGGCTACAGTTTCGGCATCGCCTATGCATTATCAACACTCCTGGGGGGATTCAAACCATGACAGTGAAGCGTATCACCTCGACAAGTTAACCACTAAACCCAATTTCCACGAGTGCCCTTGAGTCAGAGGGCAGATGTGAATTCCATAGAAGGCTATGCATTATTCCAAATCACATTATGTGATGGGATTGTTGATGAAGTAACATTGTAGTTGCTATAGCAATTGACTACGCTAGCTAGCTTTCGCTTATAAGTAGATTTTCGAAACTACAATTAGGTCCGTCGCAACTTGGTCTTGCTGTCAGGGAGACTTAGTAGAACGCACCTAGTCCGAAGTCATCTGCCATAGTAGTTGTCATGATTCCCAGCATCAGACAACATCATGACGACTACTATGGCAGACGACTTCGGACTAGGTGCGTTCTACTAAGTCGCCCTGACAGCAATACCAAGTTGCTACAACGAGGTCAACCCACTTCTATAAATCGAAAGGAGACTGCGACCATACCAGAGGCCACAACATCTTGGTCTTTATAACTACTATTAGGTCATTTATGTATGAAGTGAATTAACCCTATCACCTTAACCAAAATAGGGTGAATATATTTCGTATATAAACAATCGAGGACTCAATAAATTACCGAGAAAGTTAAATATAAAACTGGTGTCCGATCAAAGGGAACACGTGAATAAATATAATTCTGCTTATCACAGCAAATATTTTTAACTTGGAATTGCAAATGTATGGCTCAATTAGCTAAACTAACTTCCTTTCTTAAGCCTATTTTCTTTGATAATTACACAGACATGATCAAACAGTTTCCCAACAATTTAAACTTGATGTATCTTATACTCCAAATCTAGTCAAAACGAGGAATGTCTGGAGAGATTGTACTTTCTGAAGATTATAAGTTCAAGAGCTCTCTACTGGAGGCGTTTTATTAACAGATTGGAAAATGCATTTTGATCAGCCTGATCATACTTTAAGTTCGCGGTACTCTGGCCCAAATATTCAGTAACCTGTTCTGCTATTTCTGCAGACGTTAAAGTCATCCCCTACATGGGAGAGACATAACTTTTAGTTTACATGAGCTGATACCTAGGGAAACTGGTTAATTTTACCTCTGATATTGTTGTGCTTATAGCATCCGGCTATTTTCATCAGTATAAACAAAAATATGGCATATTTCAACTGGGACTCAGACAATGCGAGTGCTATGTCACGTAATTCTTACTGCCTTGGTAACCAATGTAAATAGTCAAGGGGATATTTGGGCCCTTTGAAGAAGGAGGATGTTGAAAATTAGCAAATATATTAAGATGGTGTTAGAAAGGTGGACTTTTGAATTTCCCTCGTTCAACTTAGTGGAAGATCTCATGAAGTCTATTAATATCCCTTTGCTTAACCTCAAAAGAAGGCTCTTTATACGAACTGGACTTCAGTTTCGAACCTTCCTGGAACTCATTGGCCCTCCAACGGGATCAGAAGCCGGGTCAAGTTCCGATAGATTATAACATAGTTTTGAATTCTACAGTAAAGCGGGCCTCTCACAATTCAAATGTATTGTGTGAATGGTGTCAAAAAGGCGAAATTGTATTTGCCACCACATTTTGTGTTATTAGCCAAAACAAAATACATAAGTTTTAACACCATCGGTAACTCCATCAGTAGATCAATATTTATCAATATATTTATTAATGAGTAACTCGAGAAAACGTAAGTGATGGATAAAGAGAAACTCGTTACGCATTTGGTATATTGGCACACGATGCTAGGCTATGCACACCACAAAGAGCTACATTTAGACTATGTCCCTGGACGATGCTGTTGTTGTACCACTCTGGCTAATTAAATCCTTTGCTTGACTCGTTAGCTTGATTTTTGTTGTAACGATGGTACCTTTCTCTGATGATGTCCCTCATATAACAGACGAAAGCTTACCACCTTTTCCCCGGAATCGAAGGAGATTAGCTCGGAAACATCGTCAGCACGAATCTTCCAGTAAAGCCAAACGACAGTTGGTTAAGAGGAATCCGCCGTCGTCTTCTGGTGGAACGGACCTTCGAATCTCTTCACCCAACACTTCCACTCGAAATGGAAGTAAGCTCAACAAGGAACAGAATACGTAATCTCTCATATATCAGACCCGTCACATGTAATCCACCTTTAGTATGTTTTTACTGAAATATTTGAGGTCTCCGATGTCACATCATCCAGCAATACTAATAATCTCCAGTCTAGATCCACTCATTTGCATAAATGCTACTGAATTTCGCGGAGAAAACGCTCAACATATGTTCACAGCTAATATACCATCCCTTTCTTCCATCATCTCTTTTGAGCAGCCCCAGGCCCTCGAACAAGCTAAAATGAACTTGATTCATCGGAGCGTTCTTAGGCGTCGTCTCTCCAGCCCAGCTGGAAAGTCCTGCGATGTGTCGGTGTGCCACTCCGAGGCTGTATGTCCGGACGATAGGGCTGGTGCTCTGGTAACCATACCATCCGACAACACGACGAGCAATTCGCACTTGGTTGCTGGTGCAGACACTGCTATGGTTGGTCAGCCGTCACTTATTCGACGTCGGTGTCTAAAACCGACTGAGAGGCCTCTCGGTGGCTCAGGTGTGGGCGCGAACCGATCTCCTTCGGTCCGTGTAAAGTGGCTCCTACCGCTAAGGGGTGAACCATCCCCTAGGCCGGCTAAAGGCCGCGAAGCTGCTGAGAATACAATCAAAAGAGGCCTAAGAGAACGTGGTATGCATAGTTTGTTTATTCATTGTATGGATTATTTTAGTCACTCAAACCTTCCAGACCTGGTAGGGACAGTATGAATAAAGTCGTCGATAAAGAATTTATTTATCGAAGATATGAAGACCAAGTTGGTGTGGCCTATATTATGATCGCGATCTTCTTTTTTTGTATAAAAGTTGTTTGACTCTGTTTTCGCAACTTGGTTATGCTGGCAGGAAGACCAAGAGGAACACACTTATTCCGGAGTCAATAGTATGTATGATAATCTCCAGAGTAGGACAATGGAGGTGCCACATTCCCAGACGTTTCGCCGGCATCGTCAATGAACCTTGTCTTTCTTAGCATCACGCCACAACTCATCAAAGAGGCAAGGGAAGCCGATCCGTTGACCAATTGTCGGCTAAGTAGTTGTGGTATATCTCCTTCTGCTCTGGGCTATTCACCAATCCGTTATCCTCGTGTCACCCCTTCGCTATCACAATTTCTTAAATTCTTATTTTAATGTGGTATGATGTGCCCCTATGAGCGGATTTCATGAGACCTCTTCGCACCCAAGCTGGCTTTATTTTCGCCTTCCCCAAACTCTTCTCCTGGGAATGTTGAACTGAGTCAACCATATCATTCCGCAATCCTCTTCCCATAGGCCCTATCAGAGTCTCCCTCTTGCCCCGTTGGATCCGTCCCCTATCTCCCTGGTTCAGGTATTCCACTTAACCTTTGCCACCCGATCTGTACTACTCGAGGCGTTATTTCCCACATTTTGCGTCAAGCCTTTGATGGCATTTATACCCCACAAAGCTGGATAGGAGACTAACTTGCGACTATAGATCCTAAGTAATTCTCAGGGTCAATCCTCTGTTCCATAGACCACGTCTATGATAAAACATGTCTACGGTTAGCCAACTAGCTCCAGTCTCCGACGAATCTATCATGTTTTATCCATAATACCAAGTATATTAACTCGTATGCACTAGTCTCTTGTGTGACAACCCACAAGTGTGGTATTTTCACTTGTTTTAATTAGTCCCACTGTAAACGTCTCCTCTTGGTTTCTGATTGATCCTTTCCGATTTATTTGCGATTTATTTTCAGAAAATTAAACATGTTACCTTGATCCAGTCAGCTTCTTTTCGCTAATCTTACTGTTGCCTGATCTCCTCCAAATTTTCTTTGGCAATATTCAAAGTTTCGGCTGATCATGCCTTCTTCAAGTCGCCTATTAATCAGTTTTCTTTCAGTCAGGATATCGATGGATTCTCGGAGCATGCGTTTTCTGGTATTTTCACCATATACAGCCAGCCTTTATGTCGATTTCCAGTCGATTCCGTGTCCAATACGTGCAATTTTTTCTCCCATTTCGAATCTTTTGATATCCATGTTTCTACAGGGTCTGTGATGGCCCTTGATTTGTATGCCGATTTTTCATCTTGTTTCACTAATATGCTTCTGTCCAAAGTTGCCGAATTTGATGCGAAAATCTCCCGAGCAATATAGATATCTAACCTTCTTGTGTTGCTTTGGCAGACTGGTGAAGAGTGTTGACTTATCCTTTTTTTATCACCTTAATCGT